ACATTTGATTACTGTGTAAAGGATGTCCTTGAACCTAAAAAAACAGACTTTTTGCACGAAAGTTACAGTCTATAATGCTAGAAAACTCTCAATACCTGCATTTATCGTTTTCCGATGCTAGACGGTCCAAAAATGTACGACATGTTTCGTAAATAACTGCGGGCATTAGGAATTCAAAACTCTGTTCAGAATCTTAAAAAAAAACTTGATTAAAAGAAATTTTCAAGCATTTCAGCAAAGAACAACTATTATCAATTGAACCTCAGGAAAGTAGCCAAAAATCGAACGTTTTGGAACAAGTCTTTTTTTTTTTAAATTTGTGACCAAAGCAACTGACAACACAAAGGAAACAAGATGTGTTGCTGAAGGTTGCAAAAAAAGATTGCAAGTAGCCAACCAATTTGGTAACGCTTCAGGCCAAAAATCAGTTTTGTAATATCCTTTGCAGTAAAAATATAGTGCTGATAATCCGCCTGTTTAAAAGCATTACGAATTTCGAACAATAATCGAGTAAGTGAATTTGCCAAACCATGGATTACATTCGTTGAAATAACTGAGTTCTGCATTTTAAAATTTTGAAAATAATTACAGAACTTTTGTTTATAAATTGAATACTATAGGAATCTTTAAAGAAAGGGCTAAAAAAAAATATACTCATAATAACGACAATTAACACTGCAAACTAGTTAATTAGCAGTAAAACCTGTAAAACTGAAGATAGATAAGATGAATACACAGTCATCAAATCCTGCTCTGAAGGAAACTCAATGTGGCATATTCTCAACAAGGTTTTGAAGCGATGGGGAAGATGGCTAGAAGAAGCTGTTCGGGATAAACTGACCGAAAGCACGAACTATAATTTAAATGATCAAATACTAAGGAGCTTTAAGACTTTGTATGGTAAAGCAAATATTCCAAATTAAACAGAGAATACTCTATAGCAGGAATATTTTTTAATGCTATTTCATAGGGCCTAAAAATGAGAGAGAAGTGATTAAATAATTCTTGTTTTTTCTTTTTTTAAAAAAGATAAGAGAACATGTTACAGGATAGCTAATACTTGACAACTAAAAAGACTACTTAAAGATCGTAAAATCTTTTATTGAAACTAAAACCATTCAAAATATCTAGCTCAATTTATAACCTGAACATTCTCGATGAAAATCCACTCAAGATTCTCGTCATAGTAACCTCTATAAGTTAGCAGCTGTTGCAAAAAGGAAATTGCTTCGGAAGTTCCCCATTTGTCCGGTTTAATAAGATCAACTGACTTAATATACATAACGAGATTAGGCTTACATTTAGGTTTCAAAACGCGTCCCATTGGACCAGTAGTAATCAAGCAGTATCTTCTCAGCACACTGTGGATTTGCTCAGCCCTGCAGATTTTCCTTTTAGCTATAAAATATCACGAGAAATAGAGTTCCCCTCAACTATATAAGAGTTAAAATAAATGAATTTTTTTCAGAAGAACTTCCTCACTTAAAATTCAAGCAAAACGCAAAAAGGCTGTGATTTATACAACAAAAGAATACTTCAAAACAAGATTATAAATTCCAACTTTGTGTGCGCAGTACACTGCATAAGTATAACTTGAGTATCCAAATCTCTCTGAAAACAGTGTTGCAGAACGACGTTTTTACCACTGCCTTCTGGCCCATAAACAATAAACGAATTTCGTTGTCCAGATTTAAGGAAATATTGTATCTGAAACTTCTTTTACTATACTTACTAGACCCGACAGTTGTTAATTGTTCCACTTATTCATAAATCGCTTTAAAGGAAGCACGGTTATTATTTCATCAGTTTTCTATAAAGTCCTGAAGTCCAATAAAACACCAACAAGTACCAAACTGACACTGTTAATGTAAGACTGTGTGGATGGAGTCTGTACTAACTGAGGGCCATAAATACCATTAGGATCTGGACTAGAAGTTTCCAGAAAACTAGAGGGGTAACAAGCGAGACTATTGGTCTTTGCATCGTAATAAACATTTTCTGGGTTTTCGCGATCTGGTAACTTCATGTCTTCAAATAACACCGTCTGAATGAAATCCCTCCTGTATTCGCTGCTAACACACGGACCAAAACCCATAACCATCGCTACAAGAAACTCATTGAAAACTTTGACATTTTTAAACCGGCATACAACATTCTGCACAACAGCCGTTCGAGTTCTGCACAGTTCGCTGGAATTCTTATCGCATATCCAGTTTAAACATCTGAAAGTTTTATACACCGCAGCGCCATAAGGCCAATTTCAAGATAACATTGATATAGTAATTGTTAATTTCTAAAAACATAGCTCAAAGATAAGGCTTTTAGAGAAGAAGAATTGTCACAGTTAACCTATAAAGGTGGTTTTTAACCCAGACAGATAAATCTCCAGTAGACTGGTTGTTGTTCTTTAGCCAGCAATTAACCAAACACTCCGTACTCACAATTTCTTCACTGGAAATGAGAATCATATGATTGTTTCGGGAACACCGTATTTCTATTTTATTAAAATAAATTTTGAAGAAATTATAAAAAAACCTTAGCGCTTTTTCTTACCTCACATACAGCACTCCCATTCTTGAAATAGTTGCGGGCGATGCACTTTTCAAACTGTCTGTTTCAAACAGAAAATTAACGTTTTTACCAATTTGAATTCTTTCTCCAGACGGCATTGTCAGCTAAAAACGACTTCTCTTTTCAACATTCAAAGCAGAAAAAGCTAAAGATCACAAAAGTGAATGCTTAACAATCACTTAAATTTATTTGCTTCTACATGTTATGTGCTATATTCTCATAAGTATCAATTTAAAGCAGAAGGTACAATTTTGTTATCGTCTAGAACAGAGTTCAAAGCTTCAATCCATTCTGGATCTATATCACCATCACATACGATCCATGCCAGCTTACTTGAATCTTTCACAGCTGAAAAAGCAAAATTACTTCATTAAACGTTCCGTGGTATATATGTGTCTAAAATTAGAGTTTTTATGGCTTTGCCAGATACAAATAGGAATTTTCGTAGGGGCAGACCCAGGCGTATTGCAGACGTAATTACTCCATCAAACCATTCTCTTGTATCGCTATCCATATGACCCAATAGCTGAAAAAACCTACTGTAACAACGCTTTTGAGCTATTCAAAGTATAATCGCTATTCTGTTCTTCAAGTGGTAAAAGACCTTTTTGCGAGGCATAGATTTTGGATTGAAGGTGAACAGTGTAATGGTTCTCCCTGACACTTCCAAAGTTTTATGAAGTATTTTCCATATAGTTGACTTGCCAGCTCCACTAGGGCCGATAATCACCACTCCCATACGTTGTCGTAGTTGTTCGTACAGTTCGACTACCTTTTTTACCTCAAAAGGTCTTACTCTACTTATTTTAAAACAGTATTTTAATCCTGGTCCATTTTTTCAGCAAAACGTCAATTTACTTGGGAATCCAGAACTTCCAGTTTCATCTCTTCGATGCACTTTGGCAGTATTTCATACAGCTCAGAAATCTAAAATAACAGATAAAAAAAGTTCTATTTATTCCTATTGCTTCTTTCTCAGGCTTCATGAAATTCAGCAATCCTAAAAAAATTCAAATTGATACCTCGCTTGACTGGTCACCTAGCTCTGGAAATATATCTCTGACCAAAGCGTTAAATCGAATTGAATCGGCAAATGTTAACTTTGACTGAGTATTTAACGACAAAGCCTGGAACTTTCAACTATTTAACGCCTGAATTTTCCATAAATTTTTAAAAAATGCAAACTTACATGAACAACAATACGAGCTAAGCTACTGACGTCTGACGACATTATCACTTCATCGCAAGACTGAAGCACTGCCCTAACAGCTCTAAGCCCCCAATCATAATGATGCTGCATACTCAACATTTCCCTAAAATTGAACCTACTTACCTTCAAATCAACATTTGGGCTCAAATATAGAACCTGTAACGTTTATGGTGTCAAGTTCACCTTATAAACTATACACAATTGTTCATTAAAGACTTCTCTTTTACTCTAAAAATATTTCTTTGATTAGTAATATTTAGGTTTCATTTAGTTATTACGAATCTTTCTGCTTCTACTCTTCCAGCGAACTGAAATTGGTCTACCGTTCCCTTTAAGTTTCTGGTTACACTTTTCACGTCATTAATTCCTGTCAAGTTGTTATGTTTTTTATTAGACAAAAGACGGTCCCCTTGCACTAATATCGTAAACAGCTGTCAAGGAATTTGCTGATTATTTTGAACGAAAATAAAATCTACAAGTCTAGCATCCGATTGTATGATACAGTACCGGAACGACATGATACAATAGTGACGCCCTGTAGTAGCCGGACGTGATAACCACAACTGTACATAAACAGTCTCCCGGTTATCAGGAGATCAATAGCTTTATTAGCTAAATTAGGATTGCTTATTGTGCTCTCTCTAAACCCAAAACTAACAGCTATTTTGTCCGTTAAATAAGCCCTACGAACCACTGATTAATTTTGAAATAAACCTTTCTAATAAAAATAGCCAAAAACGCAAGACTTTCCTTTGAAAAACTCTGACTTTTCAATTCATTAAATTAAATAATACAAAAAACAACCTAATATGCCTTGTTGACTTTATCTTGGCAAATCATATCCAAGTAATACACAGCAATTATTATGTATAAAATGATAATTTACCTGCTCAGTCTGAACACAGTCGTTAATTTCTTTGCCATTTGATCAGCATCTTTAAATCCTTTTGAGTACAGAAGCATTTCCACTAAATAATTCTTGAAACTTCGCTAGACTTGAACAAAACACTAAGCTTTGATTTAAAGCTTAAAAAAGACATCAAACATGTTAGCAGCATAATGTGGTAGTTTCAAAAAATTACCAATCATTTGATGGTCAGGTGCAGTCATAACAACTGGCCTAAAAAGCTGCTTCAAATTATTGGGCAGCTCTTGCCTGCCACCGTAACCCTTGCTGACAGGATTCATAGTAATGAATATAGCAGAATTTACATTAACGGCTACCTAAAGTCAAGCCTTAATATTAAATCCCCTTCTGTCTGCTGCTCCTAATAAATAATAATTAGTAAAAACCAAGTCACCTCCTTCCCGTTAAGTATGCATTTACCATTTTGAGTTCTTATAGCATCTTGTATAGCTTGTATTTGGGTTGAAACAGCAGATAAAACAGCCTGAAAAAAACAAAATAGATTAAAGAACCCAGCTTACAAACACTTCGAGACCGAGACCTTTTGAAGACGATTAAATTCGTCTAAACAACCCCATGCGCCACACTGCACTAAACCGGTAAATATTCTGTTCATGGACTTCGAATCAATACCCTCATCACAGTTGAATACGAGAACTTGTCTGCCAAACATACCACCAAGTGCCTAAACAATTCTCTTTACAAAACACATTTCTCATTTTTATACTAACTTCAAGTGGTGTCAATGCAGATACTTTCACTGATTCAGTCTTTCCAGTTCCTGCTGGCCCATACGGATTACCTCCTAGCCCCATCCCCATCGCTGAAAAAAAAATTCTAGGCATACTGTAAAATCATTATATAATAATATAAGTGTTATCACAGTCAACACTCTGACTTTCCTTCACTGTTACCTTGTGTCAAATTAAGGTAGCATTTGTCGGTTAACGGAGTTCGAACAATACCTGACGGGTTACCCTAAAAATTCGTTTCGTTTCCTTCAAACATCCTCTCTACGCAACAGTATAACAAATTTTACTTGATACTCATATGTGTAAGCGAATTCGAAGCTGAGCTGACGAACAACTACATTCCCGCTTTTTGATTCACGATAGAAACGAAGCTGCTTTTGCCATATCCAGGCATTTCTATTACTAAAATTAAACCCGCTTCAAAATTTTAAAGACGGTACTACAAACCAAGAACAATTAATTCGAGAGCACTCTTTCTAAAACCTACATAACGTTTGCATCCACTTTTAAAATTTCATCGACGATGCTAATCTGATGAATTTTATCGAGTATAAGTGATTTTAATTTGGTTTCATAAGTCTTTTTTTTCGCTTGCATTCTATTGTAGACGTTCAGGTCTGTATCCAAAGCTCTACGATATGCATTCAATTTCTCTTGATTTCCCAAACAATTTTCGCAGTTATGACAAAACTTTATCTGCTCAACCAAACAAAGAACCTGAAACGAGAGTGGCAAGTACCGGGTAACTTAAAGCTAGATTAATTTAATAGATATTAGGTTAAAAACAAAAACAGAAACTTTTTTAATTATTACTGAATACCTGAGTTGGGTATCTGCTAAGGGCCAGCTCTGTTTCACTTAAGCACTCAAGCACTAGTGCTTTCAGAGTAGTTTTCACTGAATCTACCAAATCTTGCAACCATTCCTTCAAAACAGTTTCAAAGTAGAACTTTCTAAAAACACTGAAAATAAAAATTACAGTAAAATTGGTATCTTAAAAAGTATATTCGAAAAGCACAAAAACACCAGACAACCTCAACGTTCTGAAGTACTTTAACGCAATCTTTTAGTTCGACAACTTCACCATCGGCAGACATTACTGCTGTTATAACTTCATTGCTTTCATTGAAAACAACCTTATTTATACCCTAAAATGTTAAAAATTAGTCATTCACGTTTTTCGAATTTACTCTTCTACTGAGTTACCGAAAGCACTATACAAATTTCCACGATATTCATCGCCAAAAATCAATTTTTTACTGATTTTATAAATTTATTTCAATCAAACTTGAAAAAGTTTTTTGAGGTGTGTCTGAATGACATTTGGATTAGTAGACTGTCCTAAAATTTCAAGAAGATCGTCATCACCAATAAAGTAGAACCGAGGAAAAGCGTCCCGTTTTTCCTAAAACATGCTAAGACACAATAAGTGTCCCTTTAAGCTTGCAAAATTGCATTTCTGGTACTAATTTGTTTACGTAATTGTGATTATCTAAATTCTGTTTTCAAAGCAAACCATTTTACCTCCAAAAAACTATTAAGAGCGCGATGACAACGACTCAACTGTTCAGTAATTTGATCCAACCGATACTGAAGACTGTTTCGAGAGCAAAGACTTACTAATCTGGTGTCACGTACTATTTCTAAATTCAAAATTTAAGATATTTACCCAGTAAAAGATTATTAATGCAAAAAATGTGTGAAAAGGCAGGCTATCATACACAAACCTTCAAGAATTGAGCGGAACTCAACGTCAACGCGAGCGAAGCGCGATGTTTCAGAAGGCACAGAGTCACGGCTGAATATAGGCTCAAGGTAAACCCATTTACGTTGTATTTCATTCATCTGCTCAACATACTGTTCAACGTTCATTAACCTTAAAATCAAGTAATTGATCAGCAATTTGAGAAAATGCAAAACAATATAAGTGAGAGAGACAATACTACAAGTACCAATAATTTAGAAACCTGGTTTCCCAAACCGAAGTTTTTTCACTAAATTGTGCATAATACGAAGAACTTTTCAGTGACTGCAAAAGTGCCCGATTATCTTTCACCTGAAATTACAAAATACCGCAAAATCTGCATTAAAAACAACTAAGTTTAGAAGCATTTAGCTAAAAAGAGTAATGTCAGTCACCACGATAGGAGAACTGAAAAGAAGTAAACGAAGACAAATAGCTACCGAATTAATCGCATCCTTCCAATCTTTTATGATTTTCAATGTTCGGCCATCCGTGCACTTATAGTCGGTCATTGAAAATTCTGCCTAAAAATATTTTGGTTTGCATAATAGCTGTAATGGCTAAAACAGTTTATGCACCCCCACAGATTAAGCAGTCAACCTGAGCAGCCCAAAGTTCAAGCTCTTGAATCGCTTCTCGTATAGTAGTTTCGCTTCGAGCTCGTGAACTTATATTCTTCAACGTTTCTGCATTTTCAGAAATGTTCAGATGGGCAGACAAAAGATCATAAAATTTCAGGTTTTTAAACGTAATTCCTTTTGGAAGGTTTAACAATCGGAAGATCTCCGCCCAATGATCAGCGGTCAGTGCTTCGTCACGACAGCATTTTAGGCCACTTGAGGCCGCCTGAAAGGCAATAAAGCTAGAAAAGTCAAATATTTCAAGCTACACTTCCTTAAGCTCAAATACAAAAAGTGTTTACAACCGTATATCAAATTATTACAATGCCAAGTTTCTAGCAGTTCTTCTGTCAAAAAAAAAAAAAAAAAAGAAAAAGCCCATTAAAACAGTGCTTCCCATGTAATTATCAATTTCCTTGTCAATCTTTACTGTTATACCGCTTGGAGGCAGTTTTCTAAGCCTTTCTTTCCAAGTCATCAACAGTTCGTCAAAAACATATATTTTCGTTCTGAAAAAAATCTTGAAAACTCTGAAAAACGTTAAATATTAAATTTTTCCAAGAATGAAAATTTTGCAGTTTTAATTCATTTAACTCGGTTTCGCTAATTAACATAACTTCATTCAGCAAAATCTAAAAATCTTTGTTCATTTCGCAAAAAAAAGACAAAAATGCCAACTGAATACTAAATTGTAAACCTGAAGACAACCCATTCCTCTCGACCTAGCATTGCAATATCATTACTGAACTGTTCATATAAGAGCCATACTTGCTCAAAATTTTCCAAATCAGAATTCATGACTTCAAGTGTAGGAAAAAGTGGCTCATCCATGTTGAGTTCAATACATTCGCTTCTAAAGCTATATGTAATTAATAAACCACTTTTAAACTCCTAGTCAAAAAACATTTTTAGAAATGTTTTTTCATACTGTTATTGCTCAAATTACAGTAATGTACCTTAGGGTTTGTATTCTTTCCCACAAATCGTTAAACAGAATTCGATTCTCTTTAATGACCTCAACCGCTTCCACCATTGCTTTTGGATCTTCTCCAAGCCGTTCAGGTTTGGGCTTAAAATGATTCCAACGAGCGACTAACTTCTCCGACTCATCGCTCAATGCTTTTGTTTTCTTTTTAATTTCCGCCCTCAAATATCCAACCTAAATGTACCAATTTGTGTCACAATTTCAACGATGGTTTTTCAAAAGCTTATATTGAGTAACATATTTTGGTAATAAGAAAGGAAAAGAAACTTGGTCTTTAATCATCAACTGGTGGCTGTCAAACATGAGTTCAAATTTTTCCCAGTCCTGTATTACATGTGGTAACTGTTCATTTCCACTGCCAGCTATAGAACGCAATAGCGAATTCTTTTCTTGCACTGTTTCCAACAAATTATGCATCTGAATGCTGGATGTATTTTCATTGCTGCAGAATGCAAACAGCGAAATTAAGAATCGAATCTCAAAACAATTTTAGGCTTCTCAAAAATCATCGAAGCGAAATTGTAAATTTTTTTTAGCCTAATTCTCAGATTATCTTAGAACTGATGAATAACAAGGTGTGGATCAAGAATGAAGAAAATTAATCATCTTAAAAAGCTGTTTCTTTGCTAAATTACATGTCGTCCCTGAGAAGAACTTCAGGATTTGTTGTAGAATGGTTGTGGTAGTGTAATGCAACTGCAGTAAACGTAGCGAAGAACAAGCGTAAGCGTTGAATCTCACTGGACCGCTTGTTAAAGTTTCACCTCGGCTCAATTAACTGATTGTAACGCTGCTCATTTCCAAATATATATGTTTAATGAAGCAGAAATCCTATGTAGCACTTTTAAAAACCAATTTGAGATGCCTCCATGGCCCTCTTTTCAAACCATGTATTTCCGTGCATTTGTATCAGTTTGTGTATTAAACAAACCTTCAAAATTATGAAGGCAGAGCATTTAAGTTCAAATGCGATATAGAACTGTGTGTTTTGAAAAAATATCGATTAATTACCAGGTTTTCGAAATCTAGTAGTGTGAAAATTTAAAATTTCATCTATACTTTAGCGACTCGTATTCTAGCATGAAACCTTCTTTTTGAGATGAGTTGTTTTGCTTTTTCAGCCGAGAACAGGCTTCATTACTTACAATAATTCATGATTTAACCTGCGACTGAAAAAGTGCACAATTTGACAAAGAACACAAATAACTGAAACAATTTGCCAAAGGAGACCACCAAATTATGGTTTAAAATGTGATTTAAATAACTCCTCAATTATTTTTCTTCAGCAGTAAGAAATTATGTTAAACAGAAAAAGAAGGAACAAACACTCTTATGCCAGTGATGAACACACCTTGCGGCTTGCATTCGCAAACTCGAAGTGCTTTTGATTAACTTTCGCAACATCTTCCATAGATTGTGGCCTACTGCTTAAAATAGCTATTGCTTCCGTTAAAAAACGAGACAATACCTAGAAAACAAAATGTACCACCTACTTTGATTTACACAGATTACCAGGTGGCTATATTACAGAAAACTACTTCTGAGCACATAACGTAAATTACTCTTTTATTGACAAGCTAAAGTGGCTTATGAAATCTCAATTGGTTGAAGCAGCAATTGTACCGTTAACTTTAAAAAGCCTCATTCAGCATTACAAAATAAAAGTTTGTATTCAACCTGTACTTGCACACTGGTCGAATATCTTAAAGTCCAGACCAGAGTATCATACAAACGCTGTAACATGTCGTCGATGGCAGCGCGAATGGGCTGAGTGGATACCACAATACACTCCAGTTTCACTTCGCTGAAATCAATCCTTCAGACACATGAAGCGTCTACAACTTAAAAATGAAGCAGCACACCTTAGCGAAAATACAGTGTTGTATGCTCAAATTTCCGCCTTCTAAAAAGAAAAAAATCAAACAAAGAATTCTAATAAATGTTATTTTGGTAATGTTAGTTCCTTCGAACCTTTGACTGGAACAAAAAATCTATCACCCAGAAAAAAATATATTACAAATAAACCTTGGAAGCTTTTCTGCATCTCGACCTTTTCCCTTTAAGGCTTTAATTTGATTTTCCCAATCTTCAGCTTTGGTAAATTTCTCCTCAATAAGCGCTTCCAGATCAATTTCTTCCAGAACAATCCATTCCTGCATATCAACAAAAATCCTTCAACTGTTTATAAGCTTTCAAGAAAACGTTTTACAAGCCTACTAACTTTAGCGATGTGATTGTCAAAAAAACTTTCTGTAAAACTATAAATCTCTCAAAAGTCAATATGGCCTTGTTCAACGACCTCAAAATTGATGCCAATAGTCGAAAGTTTTAAAAACAGCTGCTCAGCCTTCTCGTAGAGATTGTAGAATCGAGCTACATTGGTCTCCCCAAGTTTCGCGAACATTTTGTTTACCTAAAAATCCAGAATGTTGAGAAAATTTTCATAGTTATTTGCCTCCCTTTTTTAGACTTTCACTGAGAGCTGACATTTACCCTTTAGCGGCGATATAAAGCGTAAAACCAAAGAAGCGTTCACAGTTCACAAATACTTTTTGAAATACAGTGCTCCCACAAAAAAATTTTAGATTACACTCCAGTTGTCGCAGTTTTACCAAACCTACAGCACTTTCTGTCAAACCATAAGAAAAGCTGAAAATTGGTTTTTAGTAAGTTACCCCCATGCGTAGCAACACTGCTTTAACAACTGGACTTCTATGTTCCATTACTACCTTACTTGGTGCAACCTTTTTTGCTATACAAGTATTACACAAATCACCACCTTATCTTGTAATTTTTTGGGCATTAAACCTTCCGTTTATTTGGTCAAAAATGCTAACGTCGCATGGAAAAACAGAATATATACTCCGTTGAAAGAAAAAGTCGATGATGCCATACCATAACTTTTATGCATTTAGTTGCAAAACACCAGGAAATGATGTATTGGAAAAACGATCATTACTTCTGCGTTCTTGAAAAGTCAGTTATACGAGTTCTAGATTGAAATATTGAAGCAGCTTCTTAACCTCATTTCCCTCCCACTTTTTCCAGTCAACATCGCCGTTCCTCAAACGCAGAGTTGTGAACATAGAACCAGCAAAAAGCAGAAGTGCAGTGTTTTTGCAGGTGCAAAAATAACGAATTTAACTGCTAAATTCCCGGCGTTAATCTAAAACAATAGTTGTCAAGCGAGTCCCATTTTTCAAGGAAAAAAGGCGCAAAAGCAGCAAATAAAAATTTTTAACATTTTCCTTTATGTAAAAAACTCTGATAATAGAACCACCTGAGAAAATGCAGCGAAAATTAGAAGTTTTTTGGAAAGGCTACGAAACCTGACATAGAGCAGTAGCTGAGCACACCTTGAGGCTTCAAGACTATACACGAAGTTTTTAAAAAAGACAGAGACAATTTTAAATACGGGAATGAACATATGACACGAAGGGGGAAAAAAAAAGAATTTCATTTACTTTGCTTCTTAAGAAATGCGTAGAAAAATGATTTCCTTCATCTCCTCCCGAACTTCTTGTCCTCTCTCAGCAAAAACTTTAATCAGTTACCTAATTTTGAAAACAAAAATCTTGAACTAGAGGCGCTTCGCTCTCATGCTAGACTAATCAAACAATCAAACCATTTTTATTTCTTTCCCAGTTGTGAAGAACAACTGAGCTGGCATTTCTATCCGCCATATTTCAACGCTCAACAAACTCTGAATTAGTTGAGGTGGTGGTGTATCGGAGGACAAAGGAGGTATCTTTCATCGTTATTCCTGATTCGCATCTACCGCAAGTAATCGCTATCTACTGCACCAAAAAACGCAATCTTTTAAATCGCTTTGCCTTGTCCAGCCAACCAACGTGATGCGGTTAACAGTTTAAAAAATTTTCATGTGATCTTCGAAAAGTTGACCACGATAGCGGTCCGTCCGAGAAAATTCAACAGAGTGGTTAAGAGAGAAGTGGGAGGAAAGTTGTCCTGTTTCTTCTATTTCATTATAGGCTCGCCACAAGTTACTCACGTTAGCTGTGATAGCATAAACAATTGCTAAGTTACTGGTACAAATTCGTCAGAAAAGCGACTTCTTCATACAGTAGATGCAACAATTTCAAGCGATTAACACCAAAAAGCATTGAAAATTCATGAGTTCCCATGTTTTGGCTCACAACATACTTCATTTTAGAAAGAAACCGTCATCAAATTCTCTGGCTACATGTAAGCCACCTGTAAAAGTTTGATGCCTCAGCAACCATTTGATGAATATGTCCCTACAAAAATAATCAACCAGCAGCAATACGTGGAGTAATTGACTTTCACTTCTTAACCCTATTTTTCAGTTACTGGTTTCGAAGAATGCTTCTTCAACCGGACAGAAGTATGTCTTTCTAAAAAAGCCGTGACCTTTTAAGAAATAAAATTTTGTATACTGTTACCGAAGAGCACGATATCTGTCTTCTGTCATCACAGCAACCAGTCACCCACCGAAACCATTCATCACTCTTGCACAGATCTCTTAATAGCATACTTCTAAAATTCCCATCCACTTATTAACCAAAAAGGCGATTTAATCGCAAAGTCAAGAGTAGGTGTGCCGTCAAAAAAAGAAGAGCAAAACTACATAATTTTAAATAGCGCGTCAAAAATAACTGTTTGTTAAACTATTTTGTTTGGATCCAACAAGTGCTTCAAATCAATAACCATTTTTGACAAAAGAAATCAGCAATTGTGATAACTGCTTTAGAGGAAATCAGGTTCGTTAATAAGCAGCAGAACCATATATAGCAGAACTTTAGTACTGAACAGCCAAAAAACTAGCAAGAAGTAGATAGGTTCAAGATTAGAGATTGGTTCATGCAAAATCGAGAACTCTGTAAACAAAAATTGAAAGTAATATGGCGACTAAAAAAAGTATGTTTGAAGCGGAGTATGCCCCACTGCAGCAACGAGAAAAATTTCTTTGAGTAAATGCCTTCAAAAAAATCTGCATTTTTTAATAAGGTATCTTACTTATTTCCGAAAGAGCATTTTACTTAACTATAGCGAAAAAATATCCTTATTCCACTTTTAATATCTAGCTGGGTGCTAGTTTTCTCACTCTTCTTAGCAGCCCCCACCGAACAGAAACCCCCCGCACTAAGCAGGAACTTTGTGAAAAGTCTTTCCGAGTATTGGTAACTTTCTTAAAAGAGAACACTTCCGTCCTCATTTTGATAAAAAGGACTGTTTATCAACCAGTCCTTCTTTACAGTTAAACTAAAAGACGTCCTAGACCGTTTTCTGCTAAGATCAATTTTTTTTCTTTACCTGTTCTGTATCCTGAACACCCCGAAATTTATATGGGATGGTAAGGAACCTTTTAAGTTCATGGTAGTACTTTGCGCGAATTTCTTCAATTGGAGGCCGAAGTTGAATGCGCCGTTCTCTAAAAAAACTTCTTATGTATAACTACACATTATAATTGTAAAACTTAGTATATCTCTTTGAAATGTAATGAGTGCAAATACCCAAACACTTTGTAGACAAGTTCATAAATGGCACTTACTTGAACACTAATTGGGCCTGTATAGTTGGTATCTGCACATGAAGGCTTTCTATACCCCATTGGTACTGTATTCGTAATGCCTGAAAAGTCACTTAAGTGGTGAAGGTAGCATCAAAAAGTTAAATTTGTTAAGCAAAAACAGTAAAGAACTTCTAACTTTATCTGCCGCTAAGTGCAAGATTTCTGAAAACAAACTATAATGAATAATCTAGACCTTGTACAACTGCTTATCCCAATACAGCAACCATGGCCTCATGTTTCTTTTATTCCCACCATATTGTTCTTGCTCAGCAATTTTAGTTCTCATATCAACCAAGACGTCCTTCCACTTTGTCATCTCCTTGAAAAGGTCTGTATCCATCAGCTTTAGAACCATTGCAGTTATTTCAAAGTGAGCCTTTCTTAACATTCTGTAACGTATTTTATGAAAACAAACTTTATGCAGGGAACATTTTGGATAGGTTTGGGAAGGGACGGCGTTTATATAAATGAGCACTTAACACCCGCTGATTCTGAAACTCATTCACACTGACGAGCCCATATACATAAATTAAGCTCCTTCTCTACGTAGTCTGCGATTGAAGCATTGTCGCTGTTGTCGCAACCTGCATTATCAAGCAGCATTTCAATCCTATCGACCTCGAATGGAAAGTATGAGGCCTTTCTTCAGTTTGCAGAAACTACAGTAGACTATCGCAGATTTCTAAATAATAGTGAGACATAATGACAGGCCCCAATCTTTGTGAAAGTGCAGGGCAGAGAATAAGCAGAATGGTGCACTATCGAAAAATAGTTTGAAACAGTGACGTCGCAAAGTGACTAAAAAAAGGTTTACATAACCTATTCTGAGGTAACCAGAACAGTCCCAAAAAACAGTGTGATATTCGTTTGACTTTCTCAACCTGAGAAAAAAGCTTTATCAAATCCCTTTATCTGAAAAGCATCGAGACTGCCTCAACAGTTACCTCAAAATCGTACGAGCGTTCATTTAGGCTAGTTGCCTAACTTTTTTCTCCGCACCCGTGAGCAAAGCCTTGTTCACCAGAGCAAAACTGAGCCGCCACCCTCATGCAGGTTGCTGCACGGTACCATCCTGCATGAGCTTGGAACACTGCAGCAGCATTTCGTCACCAGGTCTACTGGTGTGGATTTCATAAAAAAGCCATTTTATAAATGTGACTGTTCAAGTATCGACGGGTTTGTGAAGTAACAAAAAGTAGGGCAGAGAGTGAGAACAACACTTTATGAAGAAATATGAAGAATACCTGTGAGCTGTCATGTATTTTTAGATCAGTAGGAAATGTGATGCACAAATAAGTTACTTGACGGTGTGAGGTTGAACAGTTTTGTTGCACAAGGCTCTTAGTTAATAGTAAGCACACTATTACGTGAAGGGCATCCTCTCCGCACACTAGTGCCTTTATTTCCATCTGCAGCAAGGGTAATTTTGCTGTCAAAAGAGCGAATACGCTGGATAAAAAGTAGGCCAGAAGATGAAGTTATACCCAAACTCTTCATCAAAAAGCGCAAGCTGAAGAAGATCTGAGAAGAGAAGTTTAGGGAGCATTCAGTCAGGAATTCAAGAAAAAGCACACCGATCATCACGTAATTGGTGAAAGAGAATGAACTAACTGCAGAAGTAGCATAGAATTACTTTTACAAACCTCCATGAATAAATGGCGGAACTTGAAACCTTACTAGAGGAAAAAATGGGTTTCTGATGAAGAAAAAATCCATGGCACCGATGAAATACATTGGCTAACAGCCACCTGCGCCGCACAACGTCGTGATACGCCCTCCTAGCTTGCCCTTTATCTAATCGACAAACATTGTTTGTATACAACTTAAAATATTCCACCATCACAAGCAGAATTCGTTTTGCTCGCTCCTCCGCCTTTCCTTTATCTGTATTATGCCTATGTTCTGGAAAGGGATCTTTGCTGCTTCTTTTTTAGCTTTCTTCCTCTCTTTACCAAAAAGCCTTTGTCGATCCCTTTACAGCCTAAGGGATTATGTGATGCTCAGTCGGTTCAGCAAACCTACTAATTTCATTTTTTTCCTCAGTGCGGAAGAACGCTTGTTAGGGAAGTTCAGCGTTTGTGTTTCCTACATAAAACTCTGGACGAAGTGCGTTGATCGTCCATCAGAGAACTGGGGAGGTATTTCACCTCGTTAACAGTGAGTCGGACATACTGTATATACTGTATACAGTATGTCAGTACATCCTTATACTGTACCAAAAGAGCTAGCTTCTGATTGGCACAATTGTCCGTATCACCAGTCTACATAAGAACCAAAATTCCAAAGATATTATAAAAGATCACCTATTTCTAGCTGTCAACCTTTCAGCAGCTTCTCGTAATTGAAAGATGTACGCTTCTAATTTTTTCGGATCGTCCCAAGTAACGGACGAAATAGAGCGTTTTCCCCTTTTCTCTGGTATGATGAGCCTCTCAAATGCTAATGCATCCTCAAGCATCATTGCTTGCTGAGAGGGTAGCATCTGTTGCTCAATTGTATTGTAAAAATGAGCAATCTGAAAATCTTCTCGATAAAATTTTTCAAAGTTAAAACTAAAAAAAACTGATTTTTGGAGAAACATGTCTTTGATTGATAAATATTAAATCACAAACATTTCCTATTGAAATAATAAAGTTTTTTACTACTTTGTTAATTGGTGGAACTTAGCCTGGGTTCAAAAAAATGAAATTTAGACCAAAAAAGACCCATCTTTCTTTCACACTATACTTTCAACAACGTGCAAAATCTTTCAGCTTCTCAAAAAAATGTTGTAGAAATTGTTCCCTCTGACAAATACGTTTTGGCAGTCATAGCTCTCAAATCTGGTCCAGCCACGAATTTGAGATCTATGACTGCTAAAACAGGCTAAACAGGAAAAAAAACATCAATGTGCGCTACTTCAGTGCTGTGCTGACGTACGACGCCACCTCTTTCCTATTTTTCCCGCTATGAACAAATGGTTCGTGTAAACGGCGAGGTACTAAAGAAAGACATTTATTAAATATGGATATAAAATAAGATCACTGCTTGGATATTGCAACTTTTCAAATAGGAAGACGCTGCGGCGGAAAGAGCGTGTAGAAGTGTACTGATCAAAACTAGCGACTGCTGCACCTTTGAGCGGAGACTCAGCCCAAGACGAGCGGCAGCCGCGTCCGTTTAAGCGCAGAAGACTCAATGTCGTGTTGGACGAACTAGACATGAAGTTCAATAAACTGGTGGTAGTGTTGCGGGTGTGTGAAAACAGCTTCAATCTCAGCAGAAAATCTCTCCAAAAAGGGCTCTGATTATAGCTCCAAAGGAAGGTTTTGGAAAATTAGTGCTTAAAAAAGACGTCTCAAAACTTGCTATTCGCGGTTTTCAGATGATTGCAGACTGCGTACGAAACAATAGAAATTTATTTGCATTTAGTCTGAAGCAGCGCTATAGTTTTTTGACAAATAATAGAGCCAGTCAGAAGATTAAAAAAAAAGAAGCGTTCACATCCAAAAGGTTGCGTCCATTTCAATTTAAAAATCGTAAAACTGCAAGCGACTCTCCAACTTCTTCTACCAAATACATTTTAAACGTGCTTTATTTGTTTTTATATCCACGCAGATTTGCTCCCTTATAGCTTGTCTTCGTCGACTTTGCAATAACCAAACGTTATTGGTCAGTCAAGTAAATCTCTTCTAGGAAAGATAAGAATATGAATCATGCAAATGTAGAATATTCTCCTCAGCTAAACGATCATAGCCCCGTAGTTGTTAGATTAAAGCGCCGAAGTTAAAACTAGTTAAGTAAGTCAAAACAAAAGTTTAGTTTTTCAATAAAGTCCATTTCCCAAATCAGCTTTGCAGTGAGGAAATGTTGAACAATGATCTATTTTTTCCTTACTGCTCTTGTTGGGAAGAGAGGCTCAGGATGACTGAAACTGGCATATCACCCTTCCCTTTAAAGTCTTCTTTAAACAATGGCGAAGAAAAGTTCTACAAAAAAAAAAAAAAA